CCCTTCCAACTCTGTTGTTCTGTTACCCCTCTCGAAAATATGCAGTGTTCCTGTCAATCACCAAAGGTTTGACACTGAAAGGGTTACTTTTCATCCTTGTGCTTTAATTCCCCAGGTACCACAAGGCCTTTCTGACCGAGCCAAGCCTTCATGCTGGAATTAATTCGGTTGTGTTGCTCATCGCTGCAGGCCATAGTTTTGAAGCCTCTATGCAGCTTCGGCAGATCGGTGTGAGATTGTTCTCTGTTGTAACTTACTAAATTCATTTGGGCAGATAGGAAGGGAGGGAAGAGTGGTTAGCATGTTAGTCATTTGGGAGAAAAATGAACAATGCTTCTTTGGAGCATACGCTGTCGTGAATGTTTATGGGTTTCTTGATGCGCAGTACATCTGGTCCTCAGTTAACAACTATCATTCAAATGATCACCATTTGCAAGTGTCAAGTCAGCTTGGAAAAAGTGGCCAAAAGTCGCAAGTCGTGATCACATGATTGTTGCCCTTAATGACCATGGGTGATTTACTTAACGTCATGGTCATTTGATGGTTTACTTAACAAAGGTATCCACTTAGCCACAGAATTGCTGTTCCGAATTGGGTTCCTTAAATGAGAATATATTTTTTTTTGTATTTCTTTTCTTATTCAGTTCAGATCCTGCCTTTCTTCCCAATGGACACTTAAGGATAGTAATTTACAGTGAGGACGTCCACAGGAAATGGGAGGGGGAATATATGTTACAACCATGTCTACACAATCAAAACCTGTTTCCTTTTTATTTGTGACATGTGTAAAAAAAAAGGGAGATGAAGCTTCATTTGCCTGATCAATTCCCCCATTTAAATTTTTGGACATCCGCGATTTAAAACTAAATCTAAGTAAATGAAAAGCTGAATAAAAGCAATTAAAATAGTAGCTGGTTTTAAAACGACAGAATATTATACTGCAAAATTCCGTGAAATTTGACTGTGCAATAAAACGGTTGGTCCTGGATTTTTGTCAAAGTTTTTTTTTAAAGCAATGCAGTTCTTGATTGATCGTTTTAACCGAATATTTTTTTATGAAAAGAAGGTGCAAAACTCAGTGATTCTGGAATGGAATAACCAGAAGAACTCACACTGCTTCAGGGCTGGTTGAGCAATTAACACAAGGAAATCCACCCAAGCAGAAATTGGTTGTAAACATTCCTGGCATATTTATTCTGACTCAGTGAATTTTGCACATGAAGTTAAGAATCAGGCGAGGCCAAATGCAACATTCTACCCAGGAAATCAAATGAGTGGCGTTTGAACAAAAATCCAGCTGCAAATCCAGCGTGGTTATATTGTTCAACCTGGTGTTTCTCGATCTTGTCACCGTTAAGATGAGTTATTGTCCACACCAGAGGTGAAATTCAGCAGGTTCTGACAGGTTCTGGAGAACCAGTGGTACAAATTTTGAGTAGTTTGGAGGGCCGGCAAATACCACCTCTGGCTGGCCCCAGAGTGGGAAGGGAATGGAGAAGGGAATGGTCCCTTCAGACCTTCCGCACAGCCCTCAAGATCTGGCTATCCCGCCAGGCCTGGGGGTAAAGACCATAGTTTGCCCCCGCCCGAAT